TAATCACATTAAAACAAATAAAAGAATGGTAGATTTGGTGCAGACAACTTTTCAATCAAAAAGTATATTTCAGCATCCATGTACATACATATACTTAATTTCCGTGGTCCCGCTTGACGCAATATTGAATATTTTGAGGATTAATCAACAAAACTCCACCAAATCTGTTAGGTATGCAACTTTGAATATGTACTAAAATTCCATCAAAAATGGCTGGCATAGATGCAGAAATAGACTTTTTTTTCCATATAAGAGTACTTCCTTTCTTGAACAATTTGTGGGAATATATTAGGGATTTATCAAGTAAACTTGATATTATTTGAAGAACATGATAGTGAGCTCCAAATACATGCCAAAATATACTAATATGGGTCCAAAACAAGCCTTGATTCGATTTAAATGAGTGCTCAAAAATATTTTACCTACACTTAGCAGGTACCAAGACCCATACTCACGTCTGTTAAAGTCAGCTAAGCCATTTGGCACTATATAACAGCTGAATATCATATTTCTGATTTCAACTGAATAAATTTTCCTGTGGGGACTTTCTCAATACGCACATATATATACAACATACATATATTTGTTAGTGGTTTTAAGGAACAATGTTATTGTTGTCGTAAAACAAAGTGAAATAAACATGTAAAAAAGGTGAATGATAAAAATGACTAAGCAAAAAGTTAAATAAACTTAATGAAAATAAAAAAAAACATTTAGCAGATGATAACAAAACGAGTACGTAGAAGCGCGGAGTATATCGTTGAGTAATAAGAATATTTTTCTGCAATGGGAAATTGTAAAAAAAAATAAATGTTTTGAGAGCATGTAACCTATAACAAACATTAACCCAATAAAATTTACAAATATTCAAAAAAGGATTAAACAAAGCTGTCTTGAAATAAAGCCTTCAATTGAATACTAGAGTAATGGATAACATTTCATTAGATGAATTTTTCTGATAAGAATGACGTGGCTATTGAAAGATGCAGTACCATACCTGACCACCAAATTGGTTTTAGAAATAAACATGAAGCAACACATTCAGTCGTAAAAAAGAAAATATTTTACTTCGACATTTTAACTGATGTTGAAATTATTTTATTTGAGCGGTCGCAACTTTTAAGAAAATCACAGGAATAAGCGAACGGATATTCACTCAATTGAAGCTGGGGTTCCTCAAGCCTATATTACCTTTATACTTCCGACTTTCCAGCAACTGATTTTAAAACTCATGGGATCTATGCTATACAGATCATACACGACTTTCAAAGTTGAAAAAGGTGAATTCAAATCATTTTTTTTTTTTTTTGCTTAGATGCCATTTTCCTAACTGATTAACAGTGATTTGAAATTATTGGAAATTGTATACGCTTGCAATATCTTGAAACATTATTGACTTCTATGATTTTCAAATAAGTCCAATTTATCAATTGTCATTTGTCGAACTACTTGAAAAAACATATAATTGCATTATTCATAAAAAAATACTTCCTTTTTCACCTCTTTACGAACTTCTCCACAAGTTTTCCCTTATAGGATTTCGATTATTTGAAATTAATAATTAAATACTCCACTGTGCCTAATTTAGCTTCGAAATCGAAAAAACCACATTAACTGTCTTTCAGCTCTTTAAGTATCCATGCCCCTTTAAAATTTGTTGCTGTAAATTCTATTTTATTTTGTGAAGTGTCAATTCACACAAATTTTCAAATAGAAATCTACACTGCGCGTATTTTAAAATAAATTATTAAAATAAAAATAATTTTTGTAGCAATTGATGAAATTTGAAACAAAATTCAGTTATTTTTCTTTAATTGTGATGGAATACCTGCGAATTAGAAGCACAAATAAATCAAATTTTTATCAAATAAAATTGAAACAAGTTTCATCAAGTTAATTTTTTGTTTATATTTTTAAACTTGAATCTATTAGATGATTTATCCAATAGGCTTTTTATATAAACATATAATAAAACAACAGATATTATTTATTAGAGGATACAAAAATTTCCTTCAGAGGAGCCATTTCTTCACTCCATGAACAAGATGGATTGTCGTGAGTTTTAGTAAACGTGCTGGGAATTTCATCACGTAGTGTATGTCATATACATATATCCGGCTACATTTTCTAGGCCATCATATTCTTGATATTCGTTCAAATTCAGCTTTAAAAATTTCACAATAGCGGACATATATAAAAGAAGAAGTAATTGGATGAGTACAATTCATTAAAATCGGAAAGCAACTTCCAAGTCGGTGGTCTCATCAAATTCTTTATTTCCGCCAGAGGATACAGCGTCTTCATTACACCCAAGAATGTAGCTTGTTAGCCTATATTAGAACTCCTGCATGGAAACATTTCGCTGTTAATTTTTTATATAGGGTGAGTTCCAAAACGTCAGTTGCAAGGCAAACTTTACGATGTATCGTGTTCCTAAATCTATCGGTAAAGCAAACTGCGCATCGCTAAGGTTTGTGATGCTTTATTTTATCATAAATTCTTAACAAAAATGGCTGACGTCGGAGGATAAGTTTTTACGCTAATTCATTTTTTTCTTTTAATTAAATTACTTATTATTGTGATCTGTTATATATTTTAGCCATTTCTCCGAAAAAAAAACTTATTTGCCCGAAAAGAGTTCTAAAATATCAGAATGCACGGTTTGGCATTTGGCACACGCCCATACTTGGACATACATCAGTAATGGCGCTTACTATATTTTCGATTATTAAATGTTGAAAATTTGTAACTACTACGATTCTTGAAATATATGTACATATGTACATACATACCGTCTTCCTTTATACTTATATTTATATCGGTGTACAACTTTGCTTCCGCCGTTTTTTCCAAAATTAAAAGCTTTATTGCGAAAAAGTGCTTACAGATATATCATTCAAGGTATTGCCCTTCGCTAGCGACGACTTTTTCCCATCATTTCGGAAACTTTCGAATCCCGGCTCAAAAAAGGAGTCCTCTTTTGGCGCTATCCATGAAGCAATCCATTTTTCCAATTCTTCGAAAATGTTGATCTGCTAGGCCGTGTGCCATCGAACGGAATAGGTGGAAGTAAGAAGGGGCGACATCTGGGAAATACGGCGGATGGGGCAAGACTTCCCATTTCAGCGTTTCCAGGTACTTTTTGACCACTTTTGCGAAGTGAGGCCGAGCATTGTTGGAGGATGACTTTGTCATGTCGCTCTTGATATTGTGGCAGCTTTTCTTTTAGCGCGCGACTAAGGCGCATCAGTTGGGTTCGGTAGCGATCTCCTGTGATGGTTTTACCCGGTTTTAAGAGCTCGTAGTAAATCACACCGAGCTGATCCCATTAAATACAAATCATAGCCTTGGCGCCGTGAATATTCGTTGAAACCACTCCCGACACGTTCTTTCACTCAGAGCAGCATCCCCGTAAGTTTCTGAGAGCATTCGATGTGTTTCAGCTGCATTTTTTTTGAATTGTAACAGAAAAGTAAATCTTCCCGCAAATGGCGAGAATTAGGCACATAAACGGACATTTTCGAGCGTGAATAATACGAAAACAAGAACAACTGTCACTGAAACGACGATGACAATTCGTTAGGCACTGTCCACACTCACTTTAAAGGCATTATCATCTATGTATTTCAACCAGCCTCAGCCTATGTGACCTATCGGAAAACGGCGGAAGCGAAGTTGTACAACTGATATTTATTTTTCGTGTGTAAAATGCATCATTCAAAGTATTTTCCATCGAGCCGACTACTTTTTACCCATCTCTCCGGTGATTTTCGAATACAATCTCTAAAAATGAGTTCTCTTTGTCCTCGATCAAATTATTGAGCCATTCTTCTATTATTTCAAAAGAGCCGAATCGGTTACCAGCCAATTTGTTTTGCAACCGTCGGCAAAAAGGCCGATATTTGGTATGACCTAGATCTGAAGAATACAGCGGGTGGTTACGACATATTATTGAAACGATTCCAATTAAAAGAGAAAATGTAAACTACCTGCAAATGCTGTTTATTTAACACAAATCCGAATATTTTCGAAAGTGCAAAAAAATGTCGTTGTCAAAAACAGACGTTGATGCACACACTTTCCAGTGAAATAGGTAATCGCTTCCAAGATCAGCCACAATTTACGGGTGAACCATCTTTTGAGAATGGACCGATTTAACTTGTACTTGTGTAGCTAGCTGTTTGAGTTATTATAGCGCTGATTTTCTTGCAATTAGGGTTTTAATAGCTAAAATGTTCTCAGTTAGCTAATTGAGCGGCAGTGTGAATGACGTTGAAAATTTGAATTTAAAGAAAAAATGGAGAATGAGTTCTTAAAAAATTATTATACTAATACTCTACAGGTAAGGTACTTTGACTCTGAACTATGGCTTATTCCGATACTCAATATCGCCTCTGTACTGAGTGCAATCGACCTATGTTGGAATCTTTAAACTGTTAACATTTTCATTCAGTTTACACCGAGTTTCTAGATTAGTTGATGAATTAATTGGCAGAAAATGTTGTTAATTTAAATTGATTTACATTGTAGTCATGTGTAACAGGCTCTCTTCTACATAAAAACCGCCTTGCCTACTATCTCAGCACGATTTCGTCTATTAGCAACTACAATGTTCTGGTTATTTCGTCGATTTACATATGTATATGTGTATACGTAGTATGTATGTATTGATCTTGGCACAGGTGTAAATGTGTTAATGTGGTTATCACAATTTCTTTTATGCCTTTTATTAAACAAATGTTTTTATTTATTTTCGCTTTTATCTCAGCAACTAATTCTACTTAGCATATATGCTAAAAAAGATAACGAATTGTGAAGATAAGCGAATGGAAGAAAACAGCGGCAAAAATAAAAATAAAATAATGTTAAGAAATGCGATTAAGTACACAGAAACAAAAAAAAAATATATATATATATACATATATACATATATATACATATGCATATAGGTTTAATTATTAATATTGACAGCATTACTGTGTGCTAGATCACTTTAGAACACTGTATACACGCAAACACACACAAGTATGTGACAAGCATCGAAGTGGTGTTAATTGAAAAATTCAATAATAAATAGATGACAGTCGAAATTGACATACATATAAATATAAGCCACAAAGGAAAGTAATAACAATATCAGTTAATTATTTGTTATGAAAATAGTGACGAATTGATGTGACCGTCACCGCTATAAACGCGAAGTTCATTTTGATTTAATTGTCCCACAACGAAGCGCATGCACACCCCAAACCCATCCTACCACCCACCTATCCGTGAATAGCCGCACACAGAGCGTAACAAATTGTCGACGGCGCGCCCATTCGCTGCTGCGCGATCATTCACAAGTTCAGTTGAAATAAAAAAAAACATAAAAAGCACGATTTCAGTGTACGATTTGTGTAATCACTTGAGGGACGGATGCTAAGTTTTTACATAAGTACATACATATCTAACTACTTATATGTAGATATATGTATACATATCTGTGCATTTGTATATGTGTAACGACCATCTAGTCGAATTCAGTCGCATAATCAATTTGTCAGTGCGTTCACTTATCAATAGCGCCGTTTGTCACAATCTGTACTGATCATGCGAAATTTCGGCTCGGCATTCGCTCGCTTACGCACTCACATTCATAAGAACGAGTATACTTATATGCGCACGAGTGTCTGATATGCAGTTAGTTAGTATTTATTACCTGTGTTGTAGCGTGAAGCTTTGAACGCGCACGTAAAAAATTGTTTTATTGTAGGTTGGTGTTAATGAGAACAAAAACAACAAGTACAATAATTAATAAGCAAATAAAATAAATCGCAAAAAGACGGAAAAAACAACTGAATTTTTTGGCCATGCCAATTTTGTCAACTTCAGGAATTTGTGCAATGAGCGTGTGCCAGTCGTAAACAGTCAGCAGTCGCGGTAGCGAAAACAGTGAGGCAAAACAGCAGCCAATAAATTTCAATAACATATGTTATAAAAAGTTAAAGTTCGAGAGTTCGGATAATGGTAAACACTATGTGAATAATTACAAAACGCGAAAAAACGAGAAGGGGCGAATAGAAAATTAAAAAGAAATTAAGTTAAATAAAGTGAACTAAATTAAAATAAATCAAAACAATATCAGATAAAATAGGACTAAATTAAATTGAATTAACTGTACTAAAATCAAAAAATTATTTATTTATCATAAAAAAAAACAAAAAAAAAAAAAAACAAAGAAAACAAAAATTAAAAAAAAGATTTAAACTAAATAAAGTAAAAATAAAATAAACGGTAACAAAAAAATGAAATAAAATAAATATTATTACAAACTAAAATAAAATAATCAAATTATTGAATAAAAATAAATAAACTTAAGCTGATTCAAATTAAATGTAAGGAAATAAAATAACCTGAAACAAAATAAAATAATTTTAATTAAAATAAATTAAATATTACTGAATAAAACAAAATAAAATAATTTTAAATAAACATAAAATAGTTAAACAAAGTAGCAAAGAGAAAAGAAAATTGGAATGAATTAAAGTATAAAAAATAAGATAAAAGAACATAAAGTAATATAGAAGGAAAAAAATAAATAAAACGAAATAAGATTATGTAATAATTAATATAAAAAAATTAAATTAAGTATAAAAAAATAAACTAAATAAATTAAGATAGAAAAAAAATATTATTGTCATAATAAAATTAAACGGAATAAAATGAAATAAAATAAAAAACGAAATTAAATAATAATACAATAAAATAATAAAAAAAAATAAAATAAAATAAAGAATATAAAATAAAATTAAAAAAAAATTAAAAACCTAAACAAAATTAAATTAGATTGAATTTAAATAAATTAAATTAAATAAAAAAAAAACTAAAATAAAATAAAATAAAATAAAATAAAATAAAATAAAATAAAATAAATTANGAAATTAAAAAAAATTAAATAAAATTAAATAAAATTAAATAAAATTAAATAAAATTAAATAAAATTAAATAAAATAAAATGAAATGAAATGAAATGAAATGAAATGAAATGAAATGAAAATGAAAATAAAATCAAATGAAATAAAATAAAGCGTAAGCAACAAAATAATATAAAATATATAAAATGTAATAAAAAAATTTGGAACAAAATTAAATAAAATAAAAAACAAAATAAAATAAAAAATATAATATAATAAAAAATATAATTAAAAAAAAAACAAATTAAAATGGAGTAAAGCGGAAAAATAATATTCGATAGTATAAATTTATTTAAAATAACAAGTTTTTAATAGTTAAAAAGTGAATGAAAAATTGTAATGCAGTTTAATTAATTAATAATTAATATTATATTTACTGGCAAACATTGAAAAACAATTAAAGATGCAAAAATTGCATAAATATGTTTTATAAAAATAATGTTTTTTTGTATAAAAGCTGAATGTGTTGAAATATGAAATAAAATATTGAAAATTAGTTTTTTTTTTGTTTTCTTTTTTTGAGTTACATTTTTAATGCAAGTAATGTGCAAAACACGGCTTTTATTCGTGCTCAATTCCAAGCTTAAACATTTTTTTAATCAACAACATTTGTTTTTTAGCCACTAATTAAATCTTTAATTAGTACAATTTAAAATTTCGCACATGTGTTATGCACACGCTTTATTATTTATTTGAAAATAATATTTTGTTTTGCTACTTTTATAAATATTTATTTACTTTCAATAAATCAAGTTTTCTAATCTCAATTGCCATGTGTACATATGTACGTTATTTCACAGCTATTGCCACGCAAATTGATATACAACAAAGACGCAGAAGTGCAAAACAAAACAACAACAATAACAACAATAAATTAGTGCAAATAAACATATTTTGCATCAACTAAAGTCAACAATTGCAACCATTCTACAATATAATAAGCGATAAGCAAGAAGGAACGCATTGTCATAATTATCGTCAGCCATCCAAAAAGTCATTGCAACGTTAAAAAGCAAACTAAAACTATTGACAATTGTGCAATTGAGTAATAAAGCTATTGCAACAATTCCAAGGCAACGGTCAGCAATTATTTCAATAATCATAGAACTTCTTTGCCACTCAGCCGCAACAAAAACACGTCCGACGCCGTCACAGCGATTGGCATTATCAGCAGCGTTGTAAATAATTAGCAACAACCAAAGTCGAAAGCAACAATAACAACCAGTTAGCCTGTGTGCCAGTGTCAGTACCAATTGCTGATTGCAAAGTGTGCATAGCGACAGCAACAGAAGCGGCAATAGTAGCTAAAGCATCAGTTGTAGCGAGAACAGCATCCCATCCAACACAATAACATCGACATCCAAGAGCCAGACTACGAGTATAGTAAAAATAGCAAATAACAACAAAAATGTTGAAAACAAAAACCAACGATGATAAAGTGGATACATTACTGACCAAGGGTCTGGTACCGATAATTGATCTCGCACATTGCGGTAAGCGTTATATATGTATGTATGTGTAAATGTGTCTTTTTTATATAACAATATTGGCTATGTATATAGCTTGCGCTTTGTAGTATGTTTGTAACTGTATTGCCAATGCTTTTGCAATTATTCATATAAATTCATTGGGTACATAAGGGCAAATGTGAATAAGTACTATATACAATATATACTAAATACTTACGTAAATATATATACATATGTACTTATGTGTAAATAAACGCAGCGCTCTGAGTATATATGTATGCGTTACTAAAGCTTTTAATTTTGTATAAATACATATATGTATGCACATACATCTACAACATAAATACATAAACGCGTATGCACCTCAATGCACTTAACTATTAATGCTTGAGCTAAAATGTATGTACATATTGTATGTATGTAGATAATTATATATCTAAATATATATTATATTACTATGGGCAAGGCTGATTATATGCAATTAGGTACACCTATTATTAGCGTATGCATCTGCTGGATTTTGTAATGATTAAAGCGATTATTTTATTTTATTTCTATTTTTTTTGTTATATATAAATAGGTGTACTTAATTCATTTTAGATAGTATACATTTTTTGTTACACACTTTTTAACTATAACCATGCATGTATATAACTAGATATTAGTGAATAATGCTAATAAGAGCTTTGTGGTATCATTGGGTATATACTTACATATATACATACGTATGTGCATGGTTATCCGCATGTGAATATGTCAATGGCAACAACACGTAATTCGATAATTTAAAATTCTTTTTATTGCTTTATTTTACTTTAATTTATTTTATTTTATTTTACTTTAATTTATTTTATTTTATCTTACTTTAATTTATTTCATTTTATTTCAATTTATTTTATTTTTATTGTTTTATTTTTTATTTAATTTTTTTTTATTTCAATATAATTTTTTTTCAATTTACTTTATTTTGTTTTATTTTAGTTTAAATATTTGACTTATTTTTAAATTCATCAGTGAAATTTTGTTTAATTTAATTTTATTTTGTTGTATTTTTATGTTAGTAAATTTTTTATTATTTCATATTTTTAATTGAAAGTAATTATACTGTAATATATACGGTATTAATACTGAGTCGGCCAGATGGAACTACTATAACATATTGCCTCAACTCAGCCGATTGCATTTGGGTAAAAAAATCTATCAAAAAAGCATCTAAAACCTTGAACTTTGGTATTCCACATACTGAAATTCAAATAGAGATTTGTAAACGATTTGTTCAGATGTGAGAATTCAGATTTAAGTTTTTCTTAATTTAAATTAAGTCTATTTTATTTTGTTTTGCTTCATTTTTAATTTGATTTAATTTCACTTCTTTATTTTATTTTATTTTTTTAATTATTTTATTGGAATTTGTTAAGATAATATTAATTTACTTCAATTTATTTTATTTCTTTCTATTTCATTTTATTTTATTTTGATTCATTTCAATTTTCTTTATTTTCGTTCATTTTACTTTATTTTATTTTATTTTAATTTACTTAGTTTTTTTATATTTCCTTATTTTACCTTTTTATATTGTTATTATTTTATTTTATCTTTTGTTTTATTTTATTTTGTTTTATTTATTATTTTTTTATTTTATCTTTTGTTTCTATTTTATTTTAATTCATTTAATTAATTTATTTGAATTTGTTGAATTAATATTAATTTTATTTTATTATAATTTATTTCATTTTATTTAAATGTATTTCATTTTTCTATTTCATTTTATTTTGTTTTATATTATTTTGTTTAATTTTATTTTGATTCAATTAAATTTTCTTTATTTTCTTTCATTTTACTATATTTTAATTTACTGTGTTTTATTTTATATTTCTTTATTTTACCTTTTTATATTATTATCATTTTATTTTCGTTTGTTTTATTTAATTTTTTTATTTTAATTTCTTCAATTATGTTTATTTTACTTTATTTTACGTTATTTGGTCTCATTTTCTTATTGTAATTTATTTTTCTTTATTTTGTTTTGCTTTTGTTTATTTTATTTCACTTTACTTGAATTAATTTTTTAGTGCATTTTTTATTTTATTTTAATTTTATTTTAATTTATCATTCATCATTTTATTTTAGTTTAGCTTTTTATATTATTATTTATATTATATTATAATATTTTATTTATTTCATTCTGATTTATTTATTACTATTAATTATTTCTTATATTGGTTTTATTTTATTTCACAAAACTTAAATTTGTTTTATTTTTTCTTATTTTATTCCCTTGGTTCCAATTTTTATTTTAATTAATTTTTCAACTTTTTTTTATCTTGTTATGTTTTTATTTATTTTTGTTTATTGTATTCCATTTCAATTTACTTGGTTAATAATACTTATGTTTTTATTTTGTTTATTTTATTTTACTTTTATAATTTTAATATTTATATTTTTATTTTATTTATTTTATTTTATTTTTATAATTTTATTTATTTTTATTTGTTTAATTTAGTTCTATTTCATTATTATTTTGTTTTGTATTTATGCTCTGTTGCTTCCCAAATAGTCGTATATAGATATATATAAAAATATATTGCACTATCACTTTTTTCTCCTTGAACCCGATCAGGTGGGCATGTTTTTAATATTTCATGTGCGTTTGTATGAAAACTAAATAAATAAATAAATATAAACTTTTACTATTTTTAAATGCCACACTTAACCGCTTATCGTACTGCCGTGAACTTCATTTAAATCAAGTGATTTAAAGTTAATGTCAATCCACTCTGTGTAGCACCAGGGTTAACCAGTCATTTTAAAAAAGTTTATAGTTTTTTTTTATTTATTCGCGGGCCACAATTGAGAGTTTCTTCAATAAAAGCTGCATTTTGAATTATAAAAAATCCCTTGCAAAATTTGTATAAAAAAACCGAAAGTTATGATAAACTCTATAGCTGTAAGCAGTACTTTTGATTTTAGATTTTCAAATAAAAGCTTAAAGTTCCGTAACATATAATGCTGAAATAAGCATATAAACATATTAATTTATATTATCAATATTCTTATAAAAAATCTTAGTATCTATATTATGTCAACCCTTTCTCTATAGCGCTATGACTAATTTTAAAAATAGCGATTCATTTTTATTCAAATTTTTTCTGTTCCCTGTTTTTTCCTTTGAACATACACGTATGTATGTGTGTATGTATAATAAATCACAGCAATTAGTCGCACATAACGTTCACATGCTATCAACGTGAGCAAAATGTAAATTAGGTGAAACACGCCTATCAACCAAGTACTTACGAGTGTGTACATACATATTGTGTACACACAGCCTCCATTGCAGTTTCCGAGTAATCTGAGCAGTGACCACTAGCTCAGCGATTGATGCTGACTCATGCATTCGATTGCGAATTGGTTTTTCAATAAACGGGGATTTACTGACAGCCACTCAAATATTTTGATTATTTCAGTCGCTACTCACATATGTACCTATTTAACAGCTGTTTTATTTAATTTTGAGTTCAAACTGAATTAAATAACCAATAATGGAGACTCGGAGATTAAACAATACAGCTTCCCATGAAATTCGATCTCTATAGTTAATATTCAAATGAAATTAGTGTAAACTGGTTTTTTTATAAACACATTTTTGTACGCTTAGAAATACATACATACGTGTATGCACAAACTAATGTGCTACCAAGTAGAGTTTAGCAAAAAAAATGCTTAGATTTATATGTATGTGTATGTGAAGTGAGTACAAATGTTTTGTTTGATTTACAAATGTTTTACAGATAATAAAAAAAAAACCTTGGTTCGCGCCTTTGCTTACTCTGCCGTTCGCTTCGTATGCGTCACTGGGTATGGTGGAATACAATTTTGACGCAAACGACCTTAATTTTCTAGCTGAATACAACAAGCTTATGCATAACAGCAACCATGCAGTGATTCGAACTAAGTTAGTTGCAATCTAATATAAATATATGTATATTTTGTGTATGACATTATCCCTTCTATCTTTATCACTATCCCTATTTTCATGCTGGAGAGACGTCAGCTAATTTGTGATATAAATTTTGGATAAATTTTTTTATCAATTCGTTGTTAAAGAGTTCAACGCTCTGAATTTATGTTATTCCTTCAAAACGTTTGTTTATATTTGAATAATAAAATTACAGCTGTCTACACGAATATATAAATAACATAATAAGAGCGTCATGACGTCATTGCCAATGAATTACGCGTTAAAAGGGTTTCACACAACAGCCGGTTTGCTCCAGTTTATATTTTTGATTGCTGGGTTACTTTAATTATGCGTGCGAGTATTTATATTGAATTTGTTATTATTAGATATCAATGTTTACATTTACATTTGATTAATCAACGCCAATAATTATGATTATACATCCGTCAAATGCATTCAAACTACGCCTTCATCGGTTTATAAACAAATTTTGCTGTTGTCTGTGAACATGTTGTTGACTGCATAACCTAATTTTCGGATTTAAAAGTTTAAATTGTTGAGCATTTTACTAATATTATACATCTATACTGATCAACTTGAATAGTCCCTAGGGTTGTCGTTGGTGGTGGCTTGTTATGGACGACTTACATTCATTTATTGCTCCGTATGCACCCGTTGGTTTCCGCGACAGCCGAGTGGTTAGCACTGCGTACTGCCATTCGAAAGGCAAGGGTTCAAATCCTATTGTCGTACTATAGAAAATTAATTTAAATAAAAAATTAAGCTATGTTTTCGAATTGAAGTCGCTCCTCGGCAGGGAATGGCAAACCCTCCGAGTGTATTTCTGATATGAAATAAATGCTCCTCATAAAATAGCCGTTCGAAGGTGGCTCAGTATAAAATGTGGCGCCAACATTTGTCGGAAAATAATCAAGATACAAAACCATATATATATATATATATACATCTATATATACATCTATTTATTTTTATCATCAGCCCTGGATTTTTTCTTGGAAAAAAATAAAGAATCATTAATCAATCCATCAAAAGCAAAAAAAAA